AGTGGCATCAATGCTGAAGGTAATAGGTATGATGCTACCAGATAAGGGGCGTTGATCAAAAGAACAGTAAAGAGATTATAACCATGGGTTGACACCATTTATTCCACCACCAACAATGGAAGTGGTGCCAAGCAAAGCCTCACAGAATGAGAAGCGTCGGCGAGAGCAAGCGAGGTCAGGACAGGACGCGTCCTGATTTTGGGAAGAATCTTTCGAAACAATGCCAAATCCAAGTTCGGGTCTCGCCCAGGCCAAGCATTTCCTTTGTCCTCTACCCTCCATGGATAATGAGTTATCAATGAATTGATACCAGATTTGCTAGGGAGAAGAAGGCTGCTCGTACCAGCTCGCGCTCGCATTTTATAGGCCACATTGCATCTCATGAGCCGCGACGATTCTTAATGGAAATAGAATGAGTGCCGTATCCCAAACAGGGTTAATCAACGGCGGAGGCCCTTAACTTTTTAGCAAATTCGATGCTTCATACGACCTTTTAACATCATGACCACTACATTTTAGAATTTTCGAAAATCTGCCCTCGGGGGAAGGGGGGTGAACACTTCTGAGCAAAAATGTTGTAGTAGTGCTGAGCGCTGCCAACTAGCACTCTACCTAGAGAGTTTGCAACCATTCTGCAGACAAATGAAAAAACCCTCTAGCAACAAAATGCGACCCTTCTGTAGGCGAGGAGTTTTCTAGGCACTATTCAACTATTACTACCCCAGTTTTGCGAAAACAGGGCGGATCATGATTTTCTACGGGGGCGGATTTGGCTGAAATTTGGGTTTTAGGGGTAATTCGACCTCCTGAACACGAATATCACATCCACTTGGCCTGAAAAGCGCCTGGCGCCCCAACGTTGTGTCGTGTTTAGGAGTCGAACCACTCCTGAGTAGAAGTTTTCTGTGGATTTGGTGATCTAGGGTACTTTGGCGCCGGCGCCTGTGGCGCGGGCGCCAGGCAGGTGTTGGGGGGCAGGGCACGCCATCTTTGTGATCATCACAACAGGGGGGTCGTATTTGCCCGCGATGGAGGGGGGGGGTCGTAAACGCATGGCCCATGTTGAAGTGGAGAGAGCGGTGATACACGGTACAAGTGAAAAGAAGCTCAAAAGGGACGATGTAGATGACAA